TCTGCTCCTATGATGCTGCTTGGCCTGCTGTGTTCATCCAGCCCTGCACCTTGTTGTCTCGGATTCTCCAGCATCTGCAGTTCCTACTATCTCTGATACAATTTGAAAGCCAGAAACTTGCCCTTTGATGCCAGCTATCTTTGTCAGGAATAAAAATATAACTCTTTTGAGCAGCTTATTACGTTATGAATGCAAGCTGTTGCTGGAGCTTTAAAGAGACTGCAGTAAAAGAGAAAGTGTGAATATACAATAAGGCCTTTCAAACCCTGCTCAGCCATTCAGTAACATCATGCTTGATCTGTGTTGCCAACATTGATCCCCTGATTTGATTGCCCTGCCTAACATAAATCTATCTATCTCCACCTGAAAAAATATTTAACCATTTTGCCTCTAGCACCTTCAGTCACACAACACTCAGAGAGAAAAAAAAAATCCTTTGTTTCTGCATTAAGTAGTGACACCCCTAGTCCTAGTTCTGGACTCATGCACCAAAAGAAGTATCCTTTACACATTCACCTTGTCAAGACCATTCAGGAACTTATACATTTCAATCAAATCATCACTTACCCCCAGACAGTTGAGAGAGTGGCAGTCTCCAATAACAAGGTATGCAAGATTTTCCGGACTCTTTTGTGATAGTTTCGCTGGTAGAATTCAAGGCAACAGGATAGGATGGCACGCAAGAGGGCAGTCAATGCTGTCTGTTAGATGTAGCCTCCACTACCCTAAAGAACACTGTGCTCTGAAATGGTAGCCAAGTAAAGGCAGGGTCAACACACCAAAGATGAATCTTGTCCCCATTTAATCTCCACATTCCCAATGTGTTTCATTTACAATAGATGGGAAAGTCAGAAAGTGAGAATGGTGAGGGACAAGTAACATTAACACACACAGGGAAGTACACAGAAGCAGGATAAAGAGGTTCAGCACTTGAGGTGGGGGTCGGGGGGAGTAGCCAATCTATCTTCTTGGTTAGCTCAAGAACATAGGAGATTCTGAAGAACATTCTTGTCTTAACTGCTTCTCTGCCTTTGGGGATGTTGATATATTTTTATATATGTAAATTTTGTGCAATTTATAGCATTTTCTATTTATGTCTTGTTTTATTTCTGATCATCTCTGTAGTTATATGTAGTTGTTAATTTTCAATGAGAAGAGGAGGCAGAGAGCACTGATGTGCTTTTACACTTAAGGGAACATATTAGGGCGATGGCTAGCAGACATACTAAGTCCGTTATGAGAGCTATGTGGTTTTTAGTTGTGATTTTAGAACTTGAAAGTATCACTTTCTGTCAAAACACAACTGCTGGAAGCACAAAGGATAATGTAGCATTATTAATGCGTTCCCATCTCTTTTTCTGTGCCCTTTTTAGTATTTTTGGACTCTTTTTGTTCAGGACTCTCATCTCGTTTGCTAAATACTCTGCAGGCTCCTTTGCAGTGCTCCTCTCCTGGCTAGAAGCCAAGCCTGTCAATAAGCTGACTTATTGGACCCTGTCAAGGTAATAAGATGCATACTGTGGAGTTAAAGCCCTGATTTCAGGGCTTCCTGTGCCCCTTTGGATCCTGAAGCCCAACCCTCACCCAATGTATCATCATGCAAAAACTCCCACCCTATATTCAAACCAAGAGACGAAAAGAAAGTTTGGATTCAGAGACAGAGAGAGAAAAGAAAAAGTTAAGAGCAACAACAAGTAGTTGAGGTCAATTTGTTACCTGCTGGAATGATATTCCACAGTTCGAATAGTGATTTGAAGAGATTGAGTGCTGCTTCAGAAACATAAATGGCACCATTAATAAATGTCCTTACACTGCTAAGTGTTTCTGTGGTGATTTTAATTGGCAACAAATGTGCAAAATACAGCAATTTCTCGAATCTTTTGGGGAGATGGGTGGCAAGCTGTCATATTTTCCTGGGCTGATGTTGAAGCAATGGAAACTGCCCCAACAATTTGTGACAATATGTGGCTCATGGCTGTACACCTTCCAAATAGCCTCAAATCTTTGAACAATTTGAACACTGATAATGGCATGTAGCAGTAAACTCGCCGTTACTTTCTCGGCAAATTCTGGCCCATTATGATCAATTCTGTCTTTCTGTTACTCGTTGGTGGCTGGGAAAGGCTTTGTAGAGACTGGTGAGAGGTGTGTTTCAGCGGTCTGTACTGGTGGTCTATGCACCTGGGTTGCCTCTTTACTGACTGCCACAGGAGTCAGGGTTGTGTGCCAGTGACAATACTGAAAAATAAAAGTTTCACAGTTTTCAAACAGAGCACGCTTATCACCTTTTTTTTGGCAAAGTACAATGAAATTTAAAAAAAAAGGTACACAACAGTACTTTTAAAATACATTCTTTATTTAGAATCTGAGCAAAAACTCTAAATTCGAACTTCAATACAACCAAGTGCCTGTTACATTATTCATTGCCAAGCATGAAACTTCAAAACCCAGTTTAAAGAAGTAAATGTGAAACCATTTCAGTTCTTAAAAAATAATTTATAAACTGAATTACAAATTCTTTGGCAGTGATTAAAGTCACACAAAAATACAAATATTAGAGTTTTTTTAATCAATATAGATAGTGAGTGCAAAGAGACTGAGAACGTTCTACACTTTTTGTTTCACTGCAACACAGAAAAGCCTGTTTTGTTGTTTGAACCTGCATGGGTCTGTAAATATTATTTTGCACACTCTGTTCTTTTGCTTGCAGTTAAATGTTTACTGATTAATTATCGAGAGACAAAGATTTAATGCAGACTGTCACAGTGGGAGAGACGCTGAGTCAGTATCCAATCAGTGGCAAACTTCCCTGATTAAGTTGGAAGATGCTGACATGTGGGATATCATCAGTCAATTGACACCCATGATACCCGAGGCCGCCCCATTCCAGTGGTGCCTCACTGATTTAATGGAAACTTAAGCATGCCCCTGTGAAAGGGCACCCAGAAAGTCTTATTGAGAGTGGGGAGATTCCTCATCGAAAGTGAGTGGGTGGTGGGGAGTTGAGACCAAAACATGAAAGGTTTTCAAAAAGGGAGTCAGATAATATTCTTAGGGTGAAAGGGGTCAAAGGTTTAGGGAGGAAGTGAGAACTGGGCGCTGAGTTGGGTGATCAGTCATGATCATACTGAATGGTGGAATAGGCTTGTGGGGCTGATTGGCCTACTCAGGCTCACTCCCTGCTCCAACACTCAAGAGGTGACTGCCCTTGACATTAAGACAGCATTTGACCAAATGTGGCACCAAGGAGCCCAAGCAAAACTGGTGTCTGGGAATTAAAGGGGCAACCTTTTTCAGATTGAAGTAACATCTAGAAGAAAAGAAGATTGTTGTGGTTGTTTGAGATCAGTTGTCTCGGCTCCAGGACATTTCTGCAGGAGTTCCTGAGGGTTGACTCCTAGACCTAACTGTCTTCAGATACTTCTGCACTGCAGAAATTCTCCAAAGATCCTACGACAGCACCCTCCAACCCACCATCACTTCCATCTGGAAGGACAAGGGCAGCAGGTACATGGAAACACCACCAACAGCAAGTTCCCCTCCAAGCCACTCACCATCCTGACTTGGAAATTTATCGCTGTTCATTCAGTGTCCCTGGGTCAAAATGCTGGAAGTCCCTCCCTAATAGCATTGTGGGTGTACCAGCAACACATGTACTGCAGCGGTTCAAGAAGACAGCTCACCACCATCTTCTCAAGGGCAACTAGAGATGGGCAATAAATGCTGGGCCAACCAGGGGGGGGGTTGGCGGTGATGGCTTAGTGGTATTATCGCTGGGCCATTAATCCAGAAACCCAGGTAATGTTCTAGGGCCCACCATGGCAGATGGTGGAATTTGAATTCAATAAAGGTCTGGAATTCAGAGCCTGATGATGACCATGAATCTGTTGCCGAATGTTGGATAAAAAACATCTGGTTCACTAATGTCCTTCAGGGAGGGAAACTGCCATCCTTACCTGGACTGGTCTACTTGTGACTCCACACCCACAGCAATGTGGTTAACTCTTAACTACCCTCTGGGCAATTAGGGGTGGGCAATATATGCTGGCCTAGCCTGCGATGCCCTCATCCTGTGGATGAATTTAAAAAAGCAAGTGAATAAAATGACCTTCCCTCTGTCATAAAGTCAGAAGTGTGTTTGGTTATTGATGATTGCACAACATCCTGCACCATTTGTGACCCCTCAGACACCAAAGCAATGCGTGTCTAAATGCAGCAAGACCTGGACAACGTTCAGGTTTAGACTGATAAGTGGCAAGTAACATTTGTGCCAGACAGGTGCCAGGCAATGACCATCAAGAGAGAATCCAACCATCACCCCTTGACATTAAACAGCATTATCATCGATGAATCTCCTACAATTAACAGCATGGGGGATAGGGGGAGTTACCATTGATCAAAACTGAACTGAACTGGCTATATAAATTTTATGGCTAAAAGAGTTTGTCAGAGGCTGGGAATTCTGTGACAACGAATTACCTCCTGATTCCTTAAAGGCTGTCCACAAGGAATACTCTCTACTTGCCTGGGCAACTGCAGCTCCATCAACAATCAAGAAGCCCAACACCATCCTGGAGAAGGCAACTCTCTCTAATACTTTCAATGCTCACTTGCTCCACCACTGAAAAGTGGCAGCAGTGTGTACAAGATTAAATGCACTACCCACCCAGGGCTCCTTAGTCATCACCTTCTAAATCTGAGACCTTTACTACTTACAAGAACAAGGGCAGCAATCAAATGGGAACATCAATAGTTGCAAGCTCCCCTCCAAGCCACAAACACCATCGTGATTTGCAACTATATTGCTGATCCTTCCCTGTCACCGGGTCAAAATCCCAGAGATCCGTGCCTAACGTTCTATGGATGTGCCTACCTGCAACGGTGCAGGAAGGCAAGCCAGCTTACTAGAGCTTCTCCAGCAAAATTTGGGATAGCAATAAATGCTGACCTAGTCAATGATGCACACATTCCCCGAATTAATTTGAAAAATCATGGTGGATGCTCAACGACGGCCACTTAACTGCCTAAAAACACGAGGCATTGGTGAGACCACATTTCAAATACTGTGTGTGGTTTTGGTTTGCTTATTTAAAGAATGACTTTAGGGCAGTTCAGAGGAGGTTTACTGGATTGGTAAGGAGTGGGTTGTCTTATGAAGAAATGTTGGGCCAGGTGGCTTGTTTCTACTGAAGTTTAGAAAAGTAAGAGGTGAGCTGAAGTGTATAAGATCCTGAACAGTTTTTCAAGGTGGACATGGAAAGATATTTCCTCTTGTGGATCAGTCCAGAACCAGGGGACACTGTTTAAAAATTAATGGATCACTTTTTTAGGACCAAGATGAGTATAACTTGCTTTTTCTCAAAGTGTTGTGCAACTTTGAAACCCTCTGCCTGAGAAAGCAGTGGAGGTGGGATCAGCAGAGAAAGTACTGGATGGAACTAGTAATCTGATAGATCTGTGGGAGAGTAAGAACAGGCACTCTTTGGCATTGGCAATGGAAGGAACAAAGGGGCAATGAACAAGAGAGAGGAATATTTGAGGCCTTTTACACTTTAACAAATGAAGACTACAACAGTAACTGTACCAGATAAACTGTCCTAAAATTACATGACCTGTAGTTTTACTTTCACTTGTGCGGTAATTTTCTTATTCATTCCCAGGGCTTGGGCATCACTGAAAAAAATGTTTATTTATTTTCTCTACTTAGTTGACCCTGAAAGCGCAGCGATGGGCTGTCTTCATGCACTGCTGCATCTCGCGTGGTGAAGGTACACCAAAACTTTAAAAGGGAGTTTATTTTTCACTGTTCTTTGTTACAACTGACTGGGCAGTTAAGAGTTGACTTTGGGACTAAAGTTATGTAAAGACCAGATTGCATACAGATGGCAGGTTCTTCTGCTTCCTTAGAGTGAACCATTTAGCGTTCTAAGACAATCGGACAGCATTTACTGCTTCTAACATTTTCTTATTTTCACGTAAAAATTTTTCAGGTCCATGAAACTGTCAGGATGGATTTTTGACTCAAATTTTCTAGACTATACTTCTCGAGATAACTAGTCCAGTCACATAACCAGTGCATTACTGACCCAGTCTTTTTGGAATAGGCTCACAGCGATGGTGTAAAGAACAATAGAGACAAGAGAATAAATACAGAAATCTGGATCAATGCAGATCATCCTATTTCTGATTTAGTTTAAATATGGTCTGTGCAATAGGATTTTTATCGTGTGAATTCTGTGGTAACAAACCTCACTTTTGGAGATCTAATTAATAACCCAAGGAAAGAACATTTTAACTTGTGTTTCTGATCCTAAATAAGATTACTCTGGTATAAATGATTAAGTAAAAGTAAGTTTCCATGGAAAGAAATAAGTCAAAAAAAGCCAAATCAGAAATGTTGGTCTTGGCTGAAAAATGTGCGTTGATTTCCTCAATTAATTGGCTCTGTCTAACGAGTAAATTTTCAAACAGAGTAGAAGTGCAGTGTAACTTTAAAATAATTCAAATTACTTTGCCTAGTTTGTTTTAGATATTGCACTATTAAAATGAGCATTGCTACAAAGCTGTTACATTAAAAATCTATATGCGTGCCCCCTCAGCTCCAGGCATACAAACATTTCAAAATATACTTATCTCTAGTCAAAATATCTGTGACATTTAATATAAATAAGTTTTCCTTGTTAAACTTCCTGACTACACTGTCCCATGTTTTAAACTGCACATACTCAGTAAGTCATCACCACACAGTCATTGCTATGGGCCACATGCTCCAATGAATTACTGGGAATGAGAGGACATTAGCCAACTTAACCTTTCCCCGTGCCATAATGTCATCACTGGAGCTTTCTGCTTGTGTGACAGTTTGTAACTTTGCAATGAGCTGCAGCTGGAGTGTGGTATAAGTGATGACAAGAAGATTACAGTAAGAGTGGGCTCCCCAGAAGGTAAAATACTATATCAGCACCTTATATAAACAAAACATACAGTGCAACTGTCATTCCTATTGCAAGATAGAGGCTCCACGCTCACCCACAACACAAACCCTGCTTCAACCTGACTGTCCCCAGATACATAATTTATGAGTTGCAGCACTATAATAGAAAAGTTACTGTGTACACTCCTATATAAAGCTTGTTTGCATAGCTTTCAAACCTTGGAAAGTAATTCCCCAAGTAGTCCTGGCTATTCTTGAATAGTTCAAAATTACATGCGAACACGTTTCAGAGTTCAGAAACATCGCTTCCATCGTAGATTATTGGTTTCTCAACAGTTAAGTGATAAAGCACCTTCTTTGAGGTAAACCTGAAAGAAATAATTGTCAAAGGTTATAGAGTCATAGAGTTATACAGCACGGAAACAGACCCTTCGGTCCAACTCATCCACGCTGACCAGACATCCCAATCTGACCTAGTCCCATTTGCCAGCATTTGGCCCATATCCCTTTAAACATTCCCTTTTCATATAGCCATTCAGATGCCTTTTAAATGTTGTAATTGTACCCGCATTCACCACTTCTTCTGGCAGCTTGTTCCATACACACCCCACCCTCTCTCTCTCCTGTGATACAATAGTGATGAGGGTTTTATTAGTGAACAAACAAGTATCAAAATATTCAACTCAAAAAGTAAATACTGGATCAAACTATTCTCTTCACACTTCAAATGGAAATGTCTACAGCCTGCATACGAATACAGTCATTCCTCTGTATCTGCAAAATCACAAATCACAAATTCGCCTCTACGTACCAACAACAAGCTACCAGTCATGCAAAATCCATGGGAAAAACTCGCCTATCCGCGACCACTTTCACTTACACAGCAATCTCGCTCTCTGACCTGTTTCATACACAGCTCTTCCCCCTCAACCCTCCATGAGCAAGGGCATAGATGCTCGGGATGAACAGACTAAGGACATCCACCAGATCGAGGTAGAGGAGGAGGGTGCATTACTGGGGGAGAATGGCTGGGAGAGAGTTACATCTGCACATCTATCCCCTCCCACACCCAGTAACCATCCATAACCTCCCCCAGCAACACCTGGCCCTGGTACACAGAACCTCTCACCTTTATTGGTAAGTTACAATACACTACAATTGTTTTTAATGTTTTATTCTATTAACTTTTATTTCAGATAGTCGTAGAGTCATACAGCATGGAAAAAGACCCTTCAGTACAACCAGTCCATGCCAACCAAAACTAAGCCAAACTAGACTAGTCCCACCTGCCTGCGCTTGGCCCATATCCCTCCAAACTTTCCTATTCATGAAGTTATCCAAATGTCTTTTAAACATTGTAACTGTACCGGCGTCCACCACTTCCTCTGGAAGTTCATTCCACACATGAACCACTGTCTGTGTAAAAAAAATTGCCCCTCAGGTCCTTTTCAAATCTTTTCCCTCTAATCTTAAAAATGTGTCCTAGTCTTGAAATCCCCCACAATAGAGAAAAGACCTTTGCCATTCACCTTATCTATACCCCTCATGATTTTAAAAACCTCTATAAGGTCTTTCCTCAACTTCCTACGTTCCAATGAAAAATGTCCCAGCCTATCCAGCCTCTCCTACCAACTCAAACCCTCCATTCCTGGCAACATCCTGGTAAATCCTTTCTGAACCCTCTCCAGTTTAATAATATCCTTCCTATAGCAGGGAGACCAGAACTACACACAGTACTCCTGAAGAGGCCTCACCAACATCCTGTACAATCTCAATATGACGTGCTAGTTCCTATACTGAAAGGTCTGAGCAATGAAGGCAAGTGTGTTAAACGTGTTTTTAACCACCCTGTTTACATATGATACAAACTTCAAAGAATTATGTCCCTGAACCCCTAGGTCTCTCTGCTCTACAACACTCTCAAGGCCCTACTTTTAACCATATGCTTTAGTATTTATTATTTTAACCCAAGAAATAATCTTGGGATCCGAGAAATTAACCTTATTTTTACCAAAAGTTATTAAGTTCCACACTCAAGGGGAGGCAATTGGCTAGTGGTATTATCGCTGGACCGTTAATCCACAGACTCAGGTAACGTTCTGGAGAACGGGTTCGAATCCCACCACGGCAGACGGTGGAATTTGAATTCAATAAATATCTGGAATTAAGAGTCTAATGATGACCGTGAATCCACTGCCAATTGTTGGAAAATCCCATCTGGTTCACTAATGACCATAAGGGAAGGAAACTGCCATCCTTACCTGGTCTGGTCTACATGTGACTCCAGACCCACAGCAATGTGGTTGACTCTTAACTGTCCTCTGGGTGATTAGGGATGGGCAATAAATGCTGCCTAGCCAGCGACGTCCTCATCCCGTGAATGAATAAAAGAAAACTTACGAATTCATCATTCACCAGGGCTTTTAGAACTGAATGCTCATGGATATACAGGAGTGACTAAACAAAACACTGTAACCATGTTCTAGCTTTCAACAGTTATTCTGTGAATCTAAGGTTTTTATATTCCGTCCCGCGTTTTATTTGAAAAGATACATCAGGGATTATTTTCATGTTCATTAAATTAATACAGCCGGTCGTGGTAGGAAACACAGTGGCTTGACCCATTATATCTCGTAGGAGGCGACAGCTCAGTCTGCCAGTGGTGGGGAAAATTCCTCTGATAAATTGGCAGCGGGAAGGGGCTGAAGTTTATAAATTGCCAGCTCAGCTGACAGCTGTCGACTGGTCTCATTGTAACTCTCCCCACACGCACCAGAATTTAATGGTGACCCAGGAATTAGATTGGAGTCACGGGGCCCACTTGTGGCGCAGTGGTAGTGTCCCTACTGCTGCACCAGGAGGCCTGGATTCAAGTCCCACCTGCTCCAGAGGTGTGTGATAACATCACTGAACAGGTTGATTAGAAAAATCGGTTACCAGTGACAACTATATGGCATGAAATAATGGATAGATAGGAGTCACATGACTTTCCCAAAGGTTACCCAACAAACCCTTGTTCAGAGGCACTCAGTGCCTGTTTGAGGAACCCAGCGTTGGGAAAAAGCAGGTGGGGAGGATCCCTGAAAGTCAACGCCCCTGTCTCTGACTCCAGCACCAACCTCACACTTCCCCCCACCACCCCCCCGTGACACTCCCCCCTCCTATTTGTCCAGCACAGGCGAAGGCGTAATGCCTCTGTAGCATGGGGCAGTACAGCAAGATGTCCACTCACTGCCGACAGCCATGACAAGGTTCTGTGACTGAACCAAATGGCAAGGAAAGACGCAAGTCCCATAAGCGTTCAACTTTTGAATGAGGGGGAAAGACTCAAAAAGGCAAGGCAGAGATGCTATGAAAATCCAAACAGGAGCAAAGTGAGTGAGCACCAACAGTGCTAGTGAGAAGCCTTGAGATGCAGCTTGGTGGAATATGTGAGTGGGCCGACCCTGTCCCTCTGCGCAGTTTCCTGGCAGCACCATTACAATGAAAGGTATGGGTACACTCCAATGTGCAGCACTGAAGTGGAGAATTGTATGGGAACTGGATCAGACTTGTGCCATGAAGGTGCACAGAGGCTGGTACATGACTGATGCCAACCTCCACTGACTAGGGTGTGGGCGGTCACTGCCAATGGAGCATGTCTGATGTCCAAGATGGAGGCCTGGGGGAGCAAATGGCATGTTGGAATCACCAGGTACCTGGTCTGACTTCCATGCTGGGAACGGTCACTATACAGTTTCTCTCCAGCATGTGGGAGAATAGGAAACAGCATGTTACAAAGGCGTGATGAGGTACTAATTGTATGCAAATAGACCTCTTGCAGCTCACAAGTAAGGTTCTCATTTTGCTGTTCAAACCTCGGTTGCAGAATTGAGCCCTTTTCTTCCTTGATGTCGCCCATATGTTCCCAATAGACTTGCCAATGCCCACATTTTCCAGGGGCTGGGAAGAATTTGCCCATAGGGTTTCCATGTGGGTGAGTACCCCACTGCTCATTGTAAATGTTGCCCAGTCTCTGAGCAGGAATCCAGCAAAGCAGATGGCTTGCCCACTGTAGTGCCTCTCCATCTTCATCTCATTGATTTCTACAGGCATCAGTCTGTCTTACAGATGCGCTAGCATAATTATATTTATTCTTATTTGTTTCTTCAGAGGGAATTTGTCCACACACGGATATCCAGGATGGATCACGATTTTCCAATCCTTTACGAAATGGCAGCAGTCTAACTATCTGTTTTACTACTTCCAGAACAGTTTTTCAAAGCCACACAGGGTGGAAAGACAATATGGATTGCGTCCACTAAGTTTGGTCTTTGGAACTTTTTTATCATATTTCGATGGACCCTCCACAGCAATCACTAATGTATTATTCTGCTGTTATGTTCTTTAAAGGCTACACTGTTTAATTGCTTGCTAAATAAAGACTATAATAAATAAAAGACTACAATCACAGTCTAATTTTTGTTAAGGGCAGCAGGAGGAGGGGACGGAGACAGACAAGGAAACTGTAATTTTCAGGTTATCAGTATCTGGGTTTAAATGACGAATTTGCTTCTATTTTAAGACAAATTGTCATAAGCTACAGGGTGTATGGTAATGGAGGATAAATATATCCTGGATTTATAATTTTAACTTAATTTAGAAGTTAGCCTACAAATTTCACACTAATGAATCCTTTGGAGATACTTCAGCACAGGCATGTTAAGCCTGTTAACAGGGGAAAAAAAGTTTACATTTATGTGAAACTTTTCAAAATCGCTGCAACTGTACAAGTGACAAAGCAGTTTTAAAATCTAGTGCCTGTCGTCATGCAGGAATGATTACATAACAAGGTCCCACAAACAGCAATGAAATAACGGCCAGAAAAATTGTATTAAATGATGTCAACTGGGGAGTAAATATGGCTCAGGCAGTAAGAATTGTACCCCTCTGATATCTTTTGGAATCTTTTATAGTTAGCTGAGAGGTCAGTCAGGACCTTGGTTTAATGTCTCATGCTAAAAGATAACACCTTCAACAGTACAGCACTCCCTTGGTACTGAGATCATGTTCAAGTCTCTGCAATGGTACTTGAGTATATAACCTTCTAATTCAGAAATGAGAGTGCTGTAAGACATTTTGGATGGGCCACCAGTGGAAGACTTGTGGAGTTTTTAATGAGAAATCTGACAGATCTAAAACTTTATGGTGTTTTGTTGGTTGCAGTAGAACTGGAAATGTATCGTGTAACCTCTCCTTTGGGCATCTGCTGTACAGGTGGAAATCAAGGAGGAAAGGTCACGTATCCAATTTCAAAATAGCAGGAGTAAACCACAATCTAATGCAGATCTGATGTACATTTGACTATTTCCTCAGATTTGCATGTATACAGGAAAGTATGGTTTGAGATGATAAGCATAAATTTTCTGTCCAGCTTTTTAGCTTTGCTGATATTTTTGTTTTGCATTCATATGGATAAAAAATTACTATCTCTGATCATGGTACCAAACTGTTCTTAAATTAGAGAATCAAGTTAAGCTTTCTGTTTCAAGTGGACAACACACAGTTGGTCCTCATTTAGAGTTATGTTTGTATTCCTGAAAACTGTGACTTTAAGTGAAATGGCTTTAAGCGAAGCGTGGTTTTCCAAAGGAATCAATGTTAAAGGCAGAGTTAGGTTCCTGCGGACATTTTTTGCTTAGAATAAACAATGTACAGATGGAAGTACTATACCGTACACGTGAATTCTTAGCTGAAATAATCTGCAAAATAGATCACTAAATATAAAATAAACACTACAGTTAGGTACTTCAGGAACTTTCCCAGCAGAAAACAACTTTAATTTGAAACGGTATACATTCTTACTTTCATAAACAAACAACATTCAAAATAAAATGTGTTAAAATGTAGAAGAAATACAATATAAATGTGAGTGCAGCTATTGCAAATATGGTACATGTGAAAATTATATCACCTGATGAAGTTTTAAATGATCAGGCTTCACCTAGTGGCAGAAGCTGGTCAATGCACGCAAGATTATCTGTACCGACCAACGTCTGTCAGTAGGTGGAGATTAGCACTTCAGTGTAAATTCAGACCGGAAGCCAGGACAGAAATTGACACCCGAGACTTTACAGGCACAACCAGAAGATAGGAACTGGATTCAGGCTGGAGTTGGGGAATGAAAAGGGACTGAGAGGAAGCAGAGTGAGGGAAAAAGAGGTTGGTTAAGGGTATTCAGTGTGTGGGTGAGCCAGCAGCTAGGGGGACTTCATGAATGCCTTCTCACACACAAGAGCACGTGAATAGTTTCTTCTGAGACAACAAGGTGCAGAGCTGGATGAACACAGCAGGCC